ATAAAACTCCGATGAAACAGTTTGTCACAGCCCCTCGTTTGTTGTCCTCTTCTCTCTCTCTGCCTACGGTTTACCGGGCAGTTCTGTTTGTGACGATATATATATATGCGGCGAGCGTCGGGCCTGTACTAGCAGGCTATGCTTTTGTTATGGTAGAAAAAATTTCTACATTTGTTCTTGTCATTCCTCTTCTCTGCTTCTTTTCCTTTACCTTTTCCCTGTTGCTGGGGTATTCCGTTTTGCGGGCCTACTGTATGGTTCCGTTTTTTGACTATGGATATGGTTATGGTAGAATTTGTTTTGCTGATCTTGTCTGTTTCCCGGTTGGTTTGGTCCCGTTGTTCGGGCTATTTCGTGGGCGTAGCGGTGCTTTCATGTGGGACCAGTCATTCGGGTTTTCGGCATCCTGGTTGGTGGTTTCTCGTTGTTCGGCCTTTTAAGCGGAGGGGCGGTGCTTGTATGTGGGAATCGTCATCCGGGATTGTCTTCTCTTTTTAGGTTGTCACACTGTGGATCGGAGCTATTTTACTATACTATGGATATGGTAGAATTTGTTTTGGTGGTGATTTTGGCACCCTTGTCTGCATCCCGGTTGGTTTAGTTCCGTCGTTCGGCTTACGGTAGTAGCCCCGTAGGGGTGATTTCATGTGGGACTTGTCAGCCGGTTTTTTTCCTTTTTTGGCATTCTAGGTGGTTGCTTCCCATTGTTCGGCCTGTGCGGGGGCGGTGCTTTTTTGTGGGAATCGACATCTAGGATTGTCCTTTATGTTTTTTTGCTGTTGGTGCTGTCCCAGTAATTTAGTTTAGACCAGCGAAGCGGTGGCTTGACAGTTTGAATCGGTACCAATTTTTGCAATTTGGCTGTGTGCAAGTGGGTCGATATGACACACGGGGGTGGGGGCAGCCGCCGCTCAACCTACATCCACGTGGGCGACCTTGTACGCAGGAGGTTCTGAACAGGGGGAGTTAAAAGGAAGAAGATAAAAAATTGAATTCACTTTTCTTTTCTCCTTTTTTTCTTTCCTTTTTTTTGCATTTGCGCTCTGATATTTTGTGACAATATATATATGAGTCGGTGAAACCCCGACGAAACAGTTTGCCACAGCCCCTCGTTTGTTGTCCTCTTCTCCCTCTCTGCCTACGGTTTACCGGGCAGCTCTGTTTGGCTATATATATATATTCCTGGTTTTAGGTTTTGGCAGATTCACGTGCAGAAAAGATAAAAAATATGGAGGTGCATCTTTCCATGTTGCAGGGGCGGGTGCATCTTCCCACGTTTCCATGAAGGATTCATTCCCCGATTTTACTCAAAAGAGCGCTAACGGCCCCTACCTCTTTTTTCTCTTTGGACCACGTGTCTTCGGGCGTCGCTCCATCTTTCCATGTTGCAGGGACGGGTGCATCTTCCCACTTTCGCACAAAGTATTCATTCCCCGATTTTAGGTTTTGGAACTTTTGGCAGATACACGTGCAGAAATGATAAAAAAATATGGCGGTGCATCTTTCCATGTTGCAGGGGCGGGTGCATCTTCCCACGTTCCCACAAAGGATTCATTTCCCGATTGTACTCAAAAAGGCCTGGCTCCACTACTCTCCTAATGGGCAAAATGAGACTGAATCTTCCGCTAGAACATGGAAAGATACATTGCCAAACTTTAGCGAGGCCCAAAGTTGTAGTGTAAGTATGCTCTGAACCTAGCTCCAGTTCCTGGCAGATACATCGGATGGAGTCCTATAGGCATTCTACATGCCACCTCCGAGTCCCTGGCTTCCTCCTATGTGCCAAGGAACTCTGGTTCGTTGCATCGGAAACGACAAAACCTGTGGTGGGGGCATCTTCGCACATTCCCGCGATAGATACATTCCCAGATTTTACTTCAAGAGGTTCCACCAGGCCAGACGTATCCCGCCCGCAGCAAACACCACATCGTTTTTGTCTTTTGTGCTTGTGGGAGTAGCGGAGCAAGGGCCTAAATTGGGAAATGGTCCCCCCAAAACGAAAAGACAACTGAATGAATCTGGAGGATTCAGAAAACGACAAAAACAAAGAAAAACAGATGGCCCCGCACACGTGCAGCTGCCGATTCGCGCCTGCCAACTGGACCCCGCCCTGGCACCGTCCGCCAACGGCCGCGGAACTCCACGCCCAGTTTCTCCTGGGCCTGGATGGAGCGTAACGTGAGCATCACTTTTTCCTTTAAGATATTAAAAAAAGAGACATAAAAAGAGATATAAAAAAGGAGATATATAAAAAGAGATATTAGAAAGTCCTCCTGACACTCCTCCACCTGGCTATCTTCAGCATCTGCAAATGTGGCTGAAGGCGAAGTTCTTTCACCATTGCTGTCCATCTCACACAACACACTGCGCTCTGATGATGTCCGTGTTTACCGATGCAGCCTCCACAAATACTCCCCCCAATCCCTTCTCTGCAACAATGTTCCCTGGAACCCCAACAACAGAACGCGAGAAGGAAAAGCGCAGCAGGAGAGCAACCATTATGTTCGCGTGTCTGCACACCCGAAGACGATTTCCCTAATCTTTCCATCATCCCAAATACTCTTCAGGAGGAGCTCAACAACTTCATCATGGATGTCCTTCCCTCGAGCTCTGAAGAGGATGCCAACAAGCAGCGAAATCGGGCAGCAGACGAGCAGTACAATGCTAAAAAGCGAGTTCAAGTCGTGGAGGAGGCACGCCGACGCCCGATTGCAGATACACAGCCTTTGACCGCATCAAAAAGCCCACAGGAACCGTCCGCAGGAGTCACAACAGCCAACAATGGACATCCATATGTTCTCTGGCGGGGACCACACCAAATTGCCCAAACAAGTGTGCAAGGGGTTCAATCTCTGATGCTCCACCAAACTTCCGATGCACGACTCGTTAAAATTGGGCGTGGTGCATCAAGCAGACTCCGATTCGTCAGTCCAGAGCTTTGAACAGCTACAGCGTGTAGTTCTTCAAGTACACACCCAAATATAAGTCCACAGCTATGATGCACAGCAATGACAGCCATCCGTAACAACAACCCCATTCTCACCTCCCCCTGGCCACAGCAACCAGCACACACACACACCAGCAAAAGCTTCAACCCTGACGACCCAGGTCCTCAACCCGCGCAAGCTCACAGATCCCAACCCCTACATCCCCACTCAACACACTTCCAATCATTACGTGTTTTAGTACGCAAGCTCCCCAACCTCCTCGTTGCCCCACGTCAACACAGCGCCACTTATTTCCGACCCCGCATTTACAATGTGAAAAATGTGGACTTCCGATGTCAATGCCGAGGCGCGAGAAGAGGAATAGAGAGAGGCGCAAAAGCGGTGTCTTGCCAAGAAGAGAGCCCAAGCCCAACAACTTCAACAATGTTGTCGTGAACTGTTCCCGGAATCAGGAACATCGAACATTGCCTCAATTCCGAACACCCGCGGTTCGGATAGTCCCAATCCATGCACCTACGACCTTGGTGTTTGTTACCCCAGGTGGGCAGAGCACGTCGAATGGCATGCCAGAAACATCAACACCCCCTTTACCTTCATGTGGGCAACCCCTGATGAGCACAGAGAAGACAACACCGTTCTCCGAGTACCTCCACCAGAGCCGCTGAAAGAACCGCCACAAAAACATACTCCAGGATGTGGAAATATCCATAACACTCCCCACACACAGTTGCATTCCACACAAGAAGAAATTGAAAACAATGCACATGCTCAAACTGAAAATCTCCAGAACACTCCCCTCCCCCCCCCCTCCACACAGTTGCATTCCACACAAACTTAAAAGTTAAAACTCAAGATTGGTGCCAGAAAAAATCTATTGGCCAAATTAAAACATGTGAGAAATCAAGCAAAGGCAAACATTTCCACCCCAAAAAGAACGAAACAGGTAGACCGCACGAACGACCAACCAGTTGATTATCACGAACCCACTGAGGTGGTCCCCACTTCGATGACAGCTTCCAACATATGCCTCAGGCAGGAGGAGACCCTATCCTGTGGTATCTTGCAATTGATACTTTCCAGGACACAGATGAGGTCCCGCACCCTTCATACCAGGAAAACTCGTCACATGAACAATTCTCAAAATACGTTACCTGCAGCAACACGTGGTGCAGCTGTTATGTATACTCCGGACATCTTCACCAGTTCAATAGGGGTCAAAGGCATAGCCGTGGGCGATCAAAGCCCATGTTTGCATTGTCATTGCACTGCTGTGGGAGCATGAAACCGATTGGGGTGAAATTTGCTTTACGAAAGGGGCTATTATATGCCAAATGCAATGGAGAATGCCTCCTGAAGGAACTGCGGAATACGAAATTCTGAGTCTTTGGGAAGCACAAACTGAGGATGGACACTGTCTTCGCAAGCATGCACGCCGCATGAACTGCCTGCCTATCTTTCTGTTCTCTCACTTTGTCTGTCGCTCTGTTTGTTCTCTGTCTCTCTCTCTCTCTCTCTCTCTCTCTCTCTCTCTCTCTCTCTCTCTCTCTCTCTCTCTCTCTCTCTCTCTCT